TCAGGAACGAAATGGTTACGGCTATCAATGTAGACCCACAACGATATTCGAAAATCCGGGTTTTAGTATTGTCAATTAAAACTAAGGGACAAGCTGTTTAAACTGAGCCTGCAATTTCGTGAAAAATAATATCACAATGCACAACATGCTTTTTTATATAAAGTTATTAAATACAAATATAACAACATATTTGTTTTACTTGATTTTTACGAATCAAAATAAATCTAATTAACTCAACATGAAATTAACTGCTAATAATAACAGCTCCTTCCATAGGCAAAAATAAAAAGCATTCCATATAAGACGACGCCGCTCACCGGCGTCGCCAATAATGGCATGGCCCGTTAATGTAAACGTTATCGAGTTCGAGGTTAACCTTTGTTTACATAACAAAGATTGATAACAATGCGAAAAAAATATGGAAAGCCATGGCTGTCTTATATTGTTCTTTTCCAATTTATTTAACCATTTGGATAATATATAAGTTCACTTCGACTATATATGAATTGAAAAACACCTTCTTATTTAACCGGGAATCCGGTAATGTTAATCCACAGTTACAATATATGAAAACCATACCGTCAGTGTATGAAACAGAGTTAGCAATATATAAGTAGATTTTCTCAATATAATGATTCCAGTTCCTTCAATATATGGTACCAAAGTAGCCATGTATGGAATCAGATATCCTTATATGAATCCGTTAATATCAATATATCAATTAATTTTTCAATATATGAATCCAATTTATCAATTTATGAAACCAAAGTAGAAATATATAAGTTGGTTATCACATTATATGATACCAATTCTTCAATATATTTGTACCAAAAGTAGCAATACATGGAATAAATGGAACCAGATGTCCTGATATGAAACCGAATTATCAATATAATAATTCATTTTTACAATATATGAAAACCAGTTTACCAATGTATTGGACTGAAGTTGGATCAGTAATGTAACCGAAGTAGCAAAATATAAGGTGATTATCACATTATATGATACCAGTTCTTCAATATATGATACCAAAGTAGCAATATATGGAACCAGATGTCCTTATATAAAACCGAATTATCAATATATTAAATCGTTTTTACAAATATAATTTTTTAATGAAACCATTTTATCAATGTATTGGACTGAAGTTCCCATATATATGTTGATTTTTACATTATATGGCACCAATGTCTCAATATATTGTCATAGGTTGTCATAGGTTTTGCTAGTATATGAATCCACTTTTCCAAAATAATGGAACCAAATGAGCAATGCGTGGAACCAAAATGTCATTATTATACTGACGGGACGTTTTTTAAAGGCTGTATTCTATCCTCGCACCGGTATTACAGTTTCGCGCCAATATTTTGTTGTTGAACTGTCAAAAGATCAGCGTGGGCTTTACTAATGGCAAACTGCACAATTTTCTAAAATAAGGACATATATTTGAATTTAACGTCACATTCAATTACTTTGGCCTTTAAAATGGGCTGGGCAGGCAAAACTTAATCGTTATATATGTACGAGGTGTATGTAAAATTTCAAAGTCATAATTTAAGCTACTAAGTCGTACTGACCATAAATAAGAAACATATTTAAACAAAAGTTTATCTCGACCTTTACCTTTGATCAAAAATAGGGGCATGGCCAGTAGGACACATCAAGGTTAATCTACTCACAAAGTTTCAAAATAACCAGTCAAAATAATTAATTTTATGAAAAAGTGTATGCATTGTTATAACAGAACCCAGTGACTTGTTGACTTGAAATTAGGCTAAATTGGTTCCATATAATGAATATTTCTATCATAGAATGTAACATCAACATATATACTGCTTCTTTGGTTCCATCCATTAAAAAATGGTTTCATATATTGTAAAAATGAAATAATATATTAATAATTCGGTTTCATATAAGGGCATCTGGTTCCATATATGGCTTACTTCGGTACAATATATTGAAGAATTGGTATCATATAATGTGATAACCAAACTTATATATTTCTACTTTGGTTTCATAAATTGATACACTGGTTTCATATATTGAAAAATCAATTAATATATTGATAATTCGGTTTAATACCAGGATATCTGGTTCCATATATGGCTATTTTGGTACCATATACTGAAGAATTGGTATCATATCATGTGATAACCAAACTTATATATTTCTACTTTGGTTTTTATAAATTTATGAATTAATATATTGAAATTTCGGTTTCATATAAGGATATCTGATTCCATACATGGCTACTTTGGTACCATATATCGCAAAAACTGGAATCATATATCGAGAAAAAATCAACTTATATATTGCTAACTCTGTTTTTCATACACTGACGGTATGGGTTTCATATATTGTAACTGTGGATTAATATAATGGATTCCGGTTAAATAAGAAGGTGTTTTTCAAGTCATATATAGTCGAAGCGAACTTATATATTATCCAAATGGTTAAATAAAATTGAAAAAGAGCAATATCAGACAGCCATGGCTTTCCATAAAAAAGTAAGGCAAGCTGATTCCTTATGAATTAAAACACAAAGTAAAACGTGAGATTTTTATGTGCCTTGATAGCGCAGTAGACAGAGCGACCGTTTAAGTGTTATATATTCATGGTCGAATCATGGTATATATATATATAAGTACTATTACATTTGGCTGTCTAATGGATCTTTTTCTTATTTGACCGGTTTTGTTTCAAATAGTTACAAAATGCATCAGATATTTTTTGGGACACGGGTTGATATGCACTTGTGTACAGTTAGAGAAAACGCCACACATCAGGAGAAAGCATTATCAGAAAAGTAAAAAAATAATGTTATATATTGATCCATATATTCAAATTATAAATATTAGGTAATCGTAGTACATTTAAAAATTCTTCATACAGTAAATAACTTTTTGCGAATCGAACCTGCATTGCATTGTAATTTAACTAGAAATTTAACTAACAGTTTTACCTACTGCGTTAAGTGGACAGTTGGCAAATTGGTTAGTTTTTTGTTTATTTGTATCGTTAAAAGAAGATAAATACAATATGATAACTGTTTTACACCCTTATAGTTGACTTGACCACTGCGTCACTAAATAATTATTTTAGACGTACTCAACACATTTACCTATGTATCTGATATAAATAATAAAACAAAAAAATATTGTTTGAAAATTTTCGTAATATTTGCGGAAAATCACTGACCCGCGAATTGCGTAGCTCATCTACACAAACGCTATCACTTTAATCTTTAAGGTACAAACCTGTTTTCAACCAAACATTAAAACAGATAAGGTCCTGTATCGGAAATGATGAAGGGGGTTTATAATTTTATTATCTCTCAAATAATAGATGCTTGTTGATGACGAATCTCATTTTGATAATATTTTAATTGAATAATCGGCCAAATTAACCAAATAAGTAGAAAAAAGCTTTGTAAACGATAAACGCTTTTTGTCAACCGACTGAATTCCTTATAAACACTTATATTATGACACTTGCCGACTTTAATATTGATGTGTTTTATCATGATAACCTTGCTTTTTTGATGAGGGATCACACATAAAACTTGGTCAGTAGAATTTCTGCGGACGTACATAATGCTTTTTTAATCATAGAAAGTCAGGCGCCTAAGCCCCCGCTTTTTCAAAACTAGGTACGTTGTAATGCGCGTAGCCAGTAGTTTCACTGATTTCTTGTGTGTCCAGGTGAGTGAGATAAATAAGCTATCATTGGGTTGGATAGAGGATAGAGAAATCCAAACGCTAAGGCTCGTTCCCGATGGAAAATGAGAAAATAAAAAAGTTCCCTGAAAGTGATTTTTCCTTTTTATAAATCCTTAAAATAACAATGTTTATCTTTAAAACTTCATTAAATGCCGTTTTATTGTTAAAATAATATTTCTGTAACATTAATTTTTTTGGCCGCCAGGCCGCTGGGCCGCCAACTTCACAAAAATGACAAAATAAAAAAAATATCTGAAAGTGATTTTTTCGTTTTATTATATCCTTTAAATAACAATGTTTATCTTTAAAACTTCATTAAATGCCGTTTATTGTTAAAATAACATTTCTACCACATTAAAAATTTTCGGCCGCCAGGCCGCTGGGTCGCCAACTTCACAAAAATGACAAAATTAAAAAAAATCTCTGAAAGTGATTTTTTTCTTTTTATATATCCTTTAAATAACAATAATTATCTTTAAAACTTCATTAAATGCCGTTTTATTGTTAAAATAACATTTCTATAACATTTTATTTTTTGGCCGCCAGGCCGCTGGGCCGCCAACTTCACAAAAATGACAAAAAAAAAAAAAAATTCTCTGAAAGTGATTTTTCTTTTTATATATCCTTTTAAATAACAATAATTATCTTTAAAACTTCATTAAATGCCGTTTTATTGTTCAAATAACATTTTCCAGCACACTAAAATTTTTGGCTGCCAGGCCGCCAGGCCGCTGGGGCCGCCAACTTCACAAAAAATGACAAAATAAAAAAAAAATTCTCTGAAAGTGATTTTTTCTTTTTATATATCCTTTAAATAACAATGTTTATCTTTAAAACTTCACTAAATGCCGTTTTATTGTAAAATTAACATTTCCATCACACTAAAAATTTTGGCTGCCAGGCCGCCAGGCCGCTGGGCCGCCAACTTCACAAAAATGACAAAATAAAAAAATTCTCTGAAAGTGATTTTTCTTTTAATATATCCTTTAAATAACAATAATTATCTTTAAAACTTCATTAAATGCCGTTTTATTGTTAAAATAATATTTCTGTAACATGGCCGTTAGGCCGCCAACTTCACGCCGCCAGGCCGCCTGGCCGCTGGGCCGCCAACTTCACACATCTGCTCGAACATACATTTTCTAAGACAAAGTCTTAGAAAAATTCTTTGTACAAGTTTTTCGTTCAAAATCAATCTTAATAAATTTTGAAGCTATCCACATATTAGTCATTTTTGAGAAAACCAGGTGATAAACGATTGTGTTTGGGTTTTTTTCGTAGATGAACCGCCCGCCGAAACAATGAAGTTAGTCATGAGAAAAAGCCATGCAAACACACGGGACGAGGAAGACAAGCAACCTGGCGAAATGTTGCCACAAACACGGGACGTTGCTTGCTCAATTTTTATAAAACCATGGAATGAAAAACTTGTAGAATTGATAGGTGAAGGATACAGATATAAATTAAGAACGCAACACATGTAAACAAAACTTCAACACTTGTTTATGTATCGCTATACAGTGAAACCTCCACTGAATGCCACTCT